TTATATTCACTAATTATTTGTCAATAATTAAAACTGCAAGTCTTAATTACACAATCTTCATAACAAAAAATAATAATAATAATAATAATAATAATAATAATAATAATAATAATAATAATAATAATAATAATAATAATTTCAAATTAGCGAGACGAAGTCACTCCATTGGTTGGAGGAAGCTTCTGATTTAGGCCTTGTATGGGAGGGATTAAAATTGGATTAAAATTGAAAATATAGCCGTTATTTTTTACTTTTATTAGACGATGGCCATATTTTCAATTTTAATTGGCTTTTAATCCCTCCCGAACGGGGCCTTAGTGTGGTGTGTGGCTTAGATAGATACAACCTGGTTTACAACAAAAAGTCAAAAACAATACAACCTTTTATGAAAGTGACGCTATGATTGCCCTGAATATCAACACACGTGTCGACACAATAAAATTTTATTCAATAATAGACTAAGTACATTACAAAATGGTTTCAATTTATATAATTATGTCTAATTTAACTAGGACAATCAATGACGTCACAACCATGGAGGAGGAGATCAACAACTTCGTCCTCTGCTTCCGGGAAACAGCTAACAAGAAAGTATTCCAGAGAAGTGTCCATGCTGCGTGGATTGCATTATTATTTTTTTTTTACAAACACTCTCTTCGCCCTGCACGGAGAGTCCCGTGTGCGCGTCAGCACAGCGTAGAGGCCAATGTTCGCGCTAAGCGGAGAGATCCCCCTCTCCGCACAGCGCGAAAGGGTTGCTCTCCGTTCCCTCATTTATCTTTTTGTATTTGTATGTATGTTTAAGTTATATTTTTATGTATATGTTTCATAACGTGTTCACCCACACATGCTCACATCTGAAATTTGTGATTATCTCTCTGCACAGCGTGGAGAGCTTGCTCTCTCTTCCCTCATTTATCTTTCTGTATTTGTATGTATGTTTATGTTATATTTTTATGTATATGTTTCATAACGTGTTCACCCATACATGCTCACATCTGAAATTTGTGAACCGGTGTACCAACTGTTTGATGTAATGCCCCAAAGAGGCTTTTCGCATAGGCATTTTCAATTTATAGTATTGTTTATATCAATACATGTTACGACCACTTCAGCTAAAACTCAACCTTAACATAGACAATCATAACTCCTTTCCCGAGCTCGGTGACTGTGTAGTGGAGGCGGCCACAACCAACAAGTTTTGAATTGGGAAATCAGTTAACAAAGACATGCGTTTATTTGTAGAAATTGGGGCCTCCTTCTTTGCCGTCTTCGTCCTCATCCTCATCCACAAATTCTATGTCGAACTCCAATGGAAATGGAGATCGAAAAGCAAAGCATGTATGAATGATGTGAGAGAGAGCAAAAAGCATGGGGATACTTAGTAAAGCAATGAAACTTGTTAATGAACTGTAACACAACGCGATAAGTGTGAAGTGGGTTGCGAAAAACACAATTGAACCTTGATTTTGAGAATTAAGAAATGCTTC